GTGTGTCACTCCAGTTCCTTCTGCAACATCTTAATTACCATAATATCAATAATAAAACCTAGTACCTGATGGAGCAAGCCCTCCCATCTTGTTCTTTTTGTTGCTGATATTTTTTTAGCCAGGGTCTCAGTACTCACTATGTAGCCCAGGCTGGCCTTGAACTCACAATTCTCCTGCCTCAGCCTCTTGGGTACTAGGATGACAGGTAAGCATCACCACACCTGGCTCAAACCGAGGGAAATTTTATTATTAAAATTTAAATATATATAATGATCACATTCATCAAGAGATTTATACCTGTACATGATATAGCTTGATTCCTTCTTTTATCCCAATCCCCTTCCCTTCCTTCAACCTCCCTTCCCCAATTTTGTATGATTTTTTTCTTTCTGGTACCAGGGATTGAACTTGGGACCTTGCACTTGTGAGGCAGGCAGCAGAACCACTGAGCTAAATTCCCCAGCCCTCCTTCCCCAATTTTAATATTGTATTTTTTTTTTTCTTGAGACAGGATCTCGCTGTGTAGCCCAGGCTGGCCTAGGACTCATGGTGATCCTCCTGCCTCAGCCTCCACAGTTGTCTGCCATTGGCATTTGTGCTCCTCTCCATTATTAGTTCCTATGTCATCCTTTCTGCTCTTATTTACATTACTGATTTACTTTTGTGGTGGCAGGGATCAGACCCAGGGCTTTGCATATGCCAGGCTGACCATAACTCCTCCCTTCTACCTTCTTTGGTTTAAGCCATGTTTCTAACTTTTTATTTCATTTTATTTTTTAGACAGGGTGTTGCTGTATAGTACAGGCTGGTCTTAAACTGTGTAGCCCAGGCTAGCCTCAGACTCAGGAATACTCCTGCCTCAGCCTCCCCAGTGCTGCGATTATAGGCGGGCACCATCACACCAGCTGTTTCTAACTTTTTTTTTTTTTGTTTCGGGGATCAAACTCAGGACCTTGAGCTCGTGAGGCAGGCACAGTACCACTGAGCTAAATCCCCAGCCCTGTTTCTAGTTTTTGAAAGAGATGCCCAGCTCACTAATTTCCACCCTTCCTTCTTTCCTAACATAAATTTAAGGCTACAGATTGCCCTCTGAAAACTTTATTCACTGCATTCTGCTAGGTCTGTGGTAATGTTCTGATTCCCTCTCAAGTCTAAATAATTTTGCCCAGTGTGGTGGGGCACACCTGTCTTCCCAGCACTGGGGAGGCTGAGGTAGTAGGATCACTGGAGTTCAAAGCCAGCCTGGGCCACATAGCAAGCTCAACGTCAACCTGAACTACATAGCAAGACCCTATCTCAAAGGAACAACAAACAAATTGAACATAAATATTTAATTTCAAGTATAATTTTTTGTGGGATGGGGACTTAGCTCAGTGGCACCACACCGGCCTTGCAAGTGCAAGGTCCTAAGTTTGATCCTGGGTACCCCCGCAAAATATATATATATAAAATAATAATAATAAAATAATTTTTCCCTATGGGTTTAGAAGTATGCATGTGAGCCAGGCATGGTGGTATACACCTATAATCCCAGTTACTTAGGAGGGTGAGGCAGGATAGCATTTTTGTGGTTAGCTTGAGCAACTTTTTGAGACTGCATCTCAAAATATAAACAAAAATAAAGGGCTGGGGCTGCATATCAGCGCTCCCTGGGTTTGGCCCCCAGCACCGCATCACACGCTTATGCAGACATGTTGCCCCAGCAGCCTGACTGCTGTCCCCTGAAGGGCCTGCCTGCTCACAAACTCAAGCCTTGGCTGGTTTCTGGGAATTTGGACTCAAAGTCAGTACCAGCACCCTAACTATGCTCACACTTGGTTTAATATTTTTTTGCACTACTACAGATTGAACCCAGGGCTTTCACACTTGATGTGGGAAGATCTTGATGTACCCAGGACTGAGTCCTGCCTTCTTTTTGTTTGAATTTTTGTTTTGTTTTTTGAGACAGGGCTTTGCTATGTAGCCTAGGCTGGTCTCGAACTGTGATCCTCCTGCCTCAGCCTCCCAAGTACTGGGATGACAGGTGAGTGCCACCATACCCAGCAAGTCCTGCCTTCTTTTCCAGAGGTCTCCGCCCATTCTCATCCCTATAGAGAGGCCAGAGGTTCAATGGCACAACACAAATGCTTTATTGTTTAAAGAGAAATCCTGACCCGGGCCAGGAGGGCTTCGAGAGCAGGAAGGGTGACAGTCAGTGGCCCTGCACAGGGCAGGCAAGGCTCACTCAGGCAAAACTGGATGGGCTAATCTTCTGCTCTTGCAGCCTGCAGGCCACTGTGGACACCCTGCCTGGGGCCAGGGCCAAGAGTGAGGAATCTGGACTTCAAGAAGGAAGACACGGGAGCTGGGCCTGGTAGCACATACCTGACATTCCAGCACTCAGAGGCAGAGGCAGGAAGATTGCTACAAGTGCCAGGCTACTGGGCTACAAAGTGAGTTCATACTGGCCTGAACTACAGAGCAAAACCTTGTCTCAAAAAAAGGGAAGGAAGACATGGCAACAGGCATCCCTGAGGAGGTGGTAAGCAGCTTCTGGACTGGCAAGTGGGCAGGGAGAGCCAGGCTAGATGGCCTCAGGGGTTGCCCTCCCAATGCCAGCCCTGGGAATAGCCCTGTCTCAGCCTCCTCTGGCTTCATGGCCCAGGGGCCAGCAGCACAGAGCCCTTCCTTGGGCTGCAGCACCAGCTGGAAGCAGGCACCAGACAGGGTCTATGCCAACCTGGAACCACCCCAAGCCCAGCACACTGACTGTGCTGCCAGTGGCCGGGCTTGGGCCTAACTCTGCAGCTGCAGGTGGCTGTGCAGCTGCTCAGCCTGGCTCTTGAGGCGCTGGAACTCTTCCTGGATGAAGTCAGTCAGGGCCTTGCGCATCTCCACCTGGGGGCGAGGACCGGGCTGGCCTGGACATGGGGACCTCGGGTGGCACCCTGGCAGACCAAGGGGCTGGGGGGAAACTCACAGCTGACTTGTTCTCCGCCCGGAGCCGCTCGAGCATGGGCAGCGCACTGAAGGGCTTCCCGATGAGCACAGTGATTTTCTGTGGAGGGAGGCGGCTGCTGGACGACAGGGAGCAGGGAGCCATCGCTGTCCCTGCCCTTGCCACCCTGGAGCCAGAGCTGAGTCCTCCCTCCCAGCCCCCGCATGGTCTCCCCCTTTAAAACAAGCAGCCAGGAGCCGGAGATTTAGCTCAGTGGTTCCGCTGCCTGCCTCTCAAGAGGAAGGACTTGAGTTCAATCCCTGGTACCAAAACAAAACAAAACAAGCAGCTGGAGGGCTGGGGATGGAGCTCAGCAGTACAGTGCCTGCCTGGCAAGTGCAAGGTCCTGAGTTCAATCCTTGTACCAAAAAAACTAAAACAAAAAAACAAGCAGCTGGGAATGGGTGTGGTGGTGCACACCTGTAATCCCAGCACTGGGGAGGCTGAGGTACGAGGACCTCCCTGATTTCAAGGTCAGCCTGGGCAACACAGTGAGATCCTGTCTCAATAAACCAAATGAATTAAGCTATTGTAGTGCTGGAACCCATTCGAGATGACCTGTCCCATTCTGACCCCGAGGCCTGTCCCTGCCCCTCATTCCAAAGGCTCTGGGGCCAGATCTCCACCCTGGTCCTCTGAAGAATGGACTGGGACATATACGGCAGGCAGGCAGGCAGGCAGCAGACAGATGGACATAAGTAGTGGCAGTGTCCTACCTGTCCGAAGCGAGGGAAGTAGGGTGGGCTGTTAGGAAGGACGTCATTCATTCCTGCAGCACAGGACACAGAAGGCCACACGTTGCTTTGGAGCCACAGATGGCCTGGGAATAGAGGGCCTGGGTGGCCCAGCAGAACCCCCATGCTCCTCCCAGGGAGCCCCTCGCCTGTCACCCGGGCTCACCGACATGCCACAGTGGCAGGATGATGGGGTTCAGATGACACTCAGCAATCAGGCGCCCGATTCCTGCCAGGGGAGTGGCAGAAGGGCTGGCATGGGCTTTGCCCAGCTGCCCTGCCCACCCCTAGTCAGGGTCACGCTACCAGCCCCCAGTCAGATCCACTTGCTGGGTAACCCTCGAGTCACTGCCTAGCCCCAGCCCCTGCTTCCCACACGCCTGGCTCACCCCACTTGAAGCGCAGGAACTCAGAGCTCATGTTCACCTTCCCTGCAGAGGAAGTGCAGTGAGGCCAGGCCCAGGGTCCCCACAGCCCAACCCCTGCAGCCCCACCCACCTTCCGGGAAGATGTGCACCCAGTCGCCGTGGTTGAGCTTGTCTAGGATGAAGTCCATGCCCCGCTGGTAGACGCCATCTCCTGCAGAGAAGGACCTGTCCCCGTCAGTCTTCACCCTGCACACCCTTCACCCAGACACACACGTCCTGTGCTGGGACAGAGGTGGCACTCCAGGACTCTTCATGTCCATTGCACCTTACACAGACACCCTGTGATGACCAGGTGACTGTGCCAGGGCCTGCTCCACCCTGGCCACCATGGCCTTTGACTTGGGAATTGAACAATAACTTATCAGCTAGCATTGTGGTGCACGCCTGTCACCCCAGCCCTCAGGAGGCTCAAGCAGGAGGATAGCTGAATTCAAGGACAACCTGAGCTAAACAGTGAGGCCCTGTCTCAAAACACCAAAAATAGGGCCGGGGATTTAGCTCAGTGGTGCTGCTGCCTGCCTTGCAAGCACAAGGTCCCAAGTTTGATCCCCGGTACCAAAAAACAAACAACAACAAAAACCCACCAAAAATAAAGCCAAGCGTGGTGGGGCATACCTGTAATCCCAGCACTCTGAGGGAGGAGGATTGTTGTGAGTTTGAGGCCAGCCTGTTTTGACCTACATAGTGACATCCTGTCTCACAAGAACAAAAAACAAAAACAACGCCTCAAAAAATAAAATAAAGCAGGGAGACACAGCAGATACACTGGGACCACCTGTGGCCAGTGCACTAACAGCAGCCTCTTACCCTATTCTCTGTAAGGCCGATTCTAATCAGGGATATATTGGTCTCATTACAGCTGAAGCTGGGACCTAGAGGCTGGGCATGCACGGGGTCTCCTGCTTGGGGTTGTGGTCTGCAGCAGGTGCTCATGGTGGGTGCGGCTCTTTCTCTGCCAGTGCCCATCCAGAGTTTAGCACCAGGATGTACAAGTAGCTTTTGCCAATGCTGGGTCTACTCAGCATCACTTGCGCCAAGCCCCCATGCACTGGACTGTCACGTCCCAGAGCATGGGCTCAGGGACAGGGAAGGGCAAGGCATGCTGAGTATGTCCTGCGTACCCAGCCCTGTAATTAAAGCTTTGGGCAGGTCACATGTGCATGATCAGTAACTTGTCCCTGCCGCTCTTTCCCTGCTGGTGCTTGGGATTAAAGTTGCACTTTCTTTTTCTTTTCTTCTCTCTCTCTCTTTTTTTTAAGTACCAGGGATCGAACCTTGTGCTTGTGAGGCAGGCGCTGAAACCACTGAGCTAAATCCCCAGCCCTTCTTTTCTTCTCTTCTTTGTGTGTGTGTGTGTGTGTGTTTGTGGTACTGGACCAGGGCCTTCACACTGAGCTACATACTCAAGCTTTTGGTTTTTGGTTTTTTTTGTCTTTTTTTGAGGCAGAGTCTTGCTAAATTGCCCAGGCTGGGCTCAAACTTGCCTCTCAGAGTGCTGGGGTTACAGGTGTGCACCACCACACCTGGCTATACGAGGATTTGCCATATTTTACTTTGGCCAATGGGAAATAATAAACAACCCCCTTGACTTCCTACGTCCTTTGGTTCCTTTCTCCTCCCTCTTCTCCCTCACAAGCAACCCTAGAAGAAGACTAACCACTCCTACTGTCCCTCACTGCTGTGCCACCAGCCCTCCTGGGCCACAGAAGGCCACTTCTCGTGGCCATCAGTCCATGGAAATGGCTTCTCTAGGGTCACCAATGGCATCAATGCTGCACAGGCCCCTGGTTCACTTTTCTCTCTAGCTGTCATTCTCTGCCACCTTGGTGACTTCTCCCTCTGTGCTCAGAGGAGCCATCCAGGACTTCTGCTCTTTCCACACTCCCTCTGGACTCTCAGCTCTGTGTTTGCAGCTGAATCCCAGTTTTTTGTTGTTGTTTTTTAGGGTTTTTTTATTAAATAATTTTATTGGTACATTTAAGGTATACAATGTAATGACATTCATCATTGGAAATTTGCACCTTTACATAATCCATGTTGGTTCTTATTTTGTTTTTTAGTTTTTTGAGACAACATCTCACTACGCAGCCCAAATGGGCCTCAAACTGATAGTGATCCTCCTGCCTCAGGGTCCCAGAGGCTGGGGTGACAGGTGTATGCTACTACACCTGGATAAGAGTCCAAAATTCTTAACAAGATTATTCCAGAACCTCCCCATTCTTCCTACAGCCTCTGTTTCCTGCCTCTCCAGTACCTGGCACCTGTGTGCCCAACACCTTTCCCTTCCTCTCTGCTTCCCCAGAGGAGAGAGCAATCTGGATTTGAACTATAGCTTTGCCACCTCTCACCTTGTGTTACCTGGCCAGCCGCTTAAACTCTCACAGCTCAATCTGGAGAATGGGGATTAAAATGGCCTTCCCTTGGTCTACCTATCACTGCAGCCCTCAGGAAAGAGGCTGAGGCAGGAGGATCACTGCAAGTTTAAGGCCAGCCTGGGCTACACAGTGAAACCCTGTCTCAAAAATCTAAAATAAGACAAAACAGGGCCAGGGATGTATTAGCTCAGTGGTTCTGCTGCCTGCCTCACAAGCACAAGGACCCGAGTTCGATCCCCTGTACCAAATAAAATAAAACAAGACAAAACAAAGGTCCCTCCCTCAGGGAGTTCATGAGTGCTAACAGGGACCACTTGACCTCAGACCTGTCCCCCCACTAGCCTGTCTGTTCTCCCAGAAGCAAAACCCGCTACGCTTGTAATGCACGCTACTGCTATCTCAGGCAGGTGACACCAACTGCCACAAGTGAGGCGCCCACTGACCTCCCTGAGTCCTCACACCAGGGCCTCACACTCCTGATCCCCAAAGCACTCCCACCTCGGCAGCTCTGGTCACCTCCATGCCATGCAATACCAACCCGGCTGGCAGACAGCCTGTCGTACACAGGCCACTCAGAGACAAGAACGAAGTGCAGCATCCCCACCCCCGGGAGCCTGGACACCGCAGGCACAGCTCACCTCGGCACACAGGCACACACTTGCCCAGACTGAAGAAGCGCGAGTGCAGCTCCTTGGTGAAGCAGATGTCCGCCGCCGCTGGGGTCCTGGGGCAAGGACAGGCCGGGTCACCACTACCACCCAGGTCTGACTGCAGCTGCCACCTGGTGGGGGGGGTAAACCTGGGCAAGGCCAGTGGGCAGGGCCTGCTCACCAGCGCATGAGCTTCAGGTTCCAGATGTGGCGGAGCTTCAGGATCCCTAGGTAAGGAGAGAAGAGGCTTCATGCCTGACTCACCTTCCTTCAGAATGTGTTCTTGGTCACCTCATGTTAGTAGCATCTTCTAGCTTCCCCTACCCATATATCTTACTCATCAAGGAGTGGGAGCCACCTCCCTCCTTGGTACATCCTGACAACTTCCATTCTTCTCGTTTGTTCTTTGAGACAGGGTCTCACTATGAAGCCCAGGCTGGCCTCACTCACGGCAATCTTCCTGCCTCAGCCTTGCCCTATAGCCACTTTCTTGTTCCTTTTTTATTTCCAAGACCCCAGGGGATGCCCAAGGGACCACAAATGCAATTCGTTCCCCCAGAGGCGGAGCATCTCAGACTCAGGAATGCCAGGGCTGTACAAGGGGCCCAGGGGGCAGTAATTTGTGCTGGTATTGTTTGCCTGGCCCGGCCCTCCTGGCTTCCTTCTCTGCAACCCCGTGCCCAGCACTCGGCCCAAGTACCCCAGAGGTGAGGGTCGTCCATGCAGGATTGGTGGTTGGAAACGGTGATGAGGGGCGTGGTGGGGCTTCGGTTCTCGATGAGCTCGTACAGCACCTCCTTGTTATGGACCATGAGGTGGTTCATATACTCTGAGGGGACAAGGGGGGTCGGTCTTCCTCCGGGATGGGTCAACGCTGTCCCCAACCCCAAGCTCCAGCTCTGGCCAGCGTGGAGACACCGGTCAGACTGTGTCTTGGCCATGGGCCACTCACTGGTCCAGAAGCAGCTGTAGGTGCCCACCAGGCCCATGACGACGCCACTGGCCAGGGTCCAGGTGAGCGGCGGCACGGCTGGGAACGGCCAGCGCACATGGAGGGG